CCGGCGCACCTGCGCTCCGCGTCGCTCAGCCACCCGGGCGGGGAGGTGGAGCCGGCGCCCTCCGGGGCTCCCACGCCAGGAACCGCCGGTCGGGGGCGCCTCGCCAACCACCAGCGGAAGTGGTGCTTCTCGGAGCCAGGGAAGCTGGATCGCGTGGGTCGGGGCGGTGGGTTGGCGGCGGAATGTTCGGGTGAGGCCTGCTCCAGCTCTGGTCTCTCCAGGCCCGAGCCCCAGGTATTGCAGCATCAGGCCCTGGCAGAGTTCGGAGGTCACCAGATCAGATGGCTGCCTGAGACCCAGCCCAGAGGCATAGAGGACCAAGAACCCCGGCCCTCGAAGCTTGGCAATGTCTACAGGCCTGCTAGTCGGAGTCGGAGCGCTTCAGGGGAAGCCTTGGCTCCTTGGGGAGGTCCAGGAGAGGTCATGCCCATTGTCCAGGTATGGAAGATAGGGCCTGCAGGCTTGGGGTGGTGGGCATCTTGGAGACTGAAAACGTGTGCCACATTTCATCCATCTGTTTGCCTTTCCAGGCTGTACCCCAAGGAACGGAAACCCCCACACCATTGTTTCAGACCAAACTTTCCAGGTGAGAGACATGGACCATTCTGGGGACTGAAAGTTGGTGGGAGGCAGCTTTCATTGCTCTTGCCCAAGAAAGGAGAGAGCCTCCTGCCTACCCTCAATTTGAGCATTCTGACTTTGTCTTCTGCAAACTACATCCCCTACTCCCCCGCTAACATCCTACTGTCCAAGAGCTTCCTTCCTGGTCACCGTGGTCAGTGTGGGGTCCCTGCCTCCAGGTTCCTGACTCAGAAGGAAGCTGCAGTGGTGTGTCCTGCAGAGGACCCCCAGAGCAGTCCCGTTGACTGTGAGCAGAGGGTCTCAGAGACCTGCATTGTATCTGCCCGGCTCCCATCCCTTCCTGATGATGAAGTTTTCCTGGAAGAAGCCCCGCTGGTCAGAATGAGATCACCTCCAGACTCTCATGCCCCTACGGGGCTCCCAACCAGGTGAATTCCCTCTTGCTTCCAAGCAGATGAGATACCCCCTTCCGAAACGAATCTACAAAATGCTGGAGGGGCACGGAACATGGAACCCTCTCCTAGCTGAAGCCTGGGAGCCCAGGTGGTGGGGAAGGGGGCAGGTGGCCCTTGGAGGCCACCACTTGTCTTCGGCCAGAGTTTTTTCTGATTCACTGTCTTTTCCACTTTCAGTGTGCATGCCTCTGAGCAGCAGTATGGAGCTGGCTTGGGCCAAAGGGCTGACCAGGCTACCGTCCCCCCAGAGCACCCCCTCCATGAGTGCCCAGGGGCCGCAGAGGCAGATGACTGCTGGCAGGGGGTAAACGGTTCTGTGGGTGTCTCCAGGCCCACATGCTGTAGCCCCCCTGGGACTGCAAATGGTGACATCCCAACCTTTGACACCACTGGACTGCTGACCACTGACCCCTCCGCAGTTGCAGAAAGTGACCCCCTCAAACCTCTTCCAGTTGAAGCCCTGGGACCTCCAGGCAAGGACACGCCGGGGCTTCCGGACCACACTGCCCTGGCTTGGGGGACTGGCCAGCCTGGTTTCAGGCCAACATGGCCCAGTCCACGCCTCGAGGAGCTGGTTCAGGAGCTGGCCAGACTGGATCCCTCTCTGAGGGACACTCTCACCTCCTACCCCAGCCCAGAGCCACCCCTGGGCCTGCTGGATGGGCTGATTCCTTTAGCTGAGGTCTGGGCTGCAATGAGGCCAGCCTGTGGGGAGGCTGGAGAGGAAACTGCTGGTACTTCTGAGCCAGGGTGAGTGAGGGGCACCAGGGGATTCTAAGCGCCTGCAGTCTGGGGCAGAACAACCCTGGGAGCTCTGGCTTTGTCCCCAGGTCCTGTCTTTTGAGCTCCACCCAGATCCTGCCAACTTCTCAGGAGGAGACAAAACCTGAAAACCTTACCATCCACCCTGTGGCTGACCAGCCATGTGGCCAGGGTCTCCCTGAGCAAAATAACAGCATCCAAGCCAAGAAAGTGAGTGTGGAGAGGCTGGTGGACATGCGGTAGGGCAAGCACCCAAAGTCTTGGTTGAGAAGTAAGGGGCGTGGCCCCAGCCTTAAGTACCCACGCCCTCCCTGCAGGTGGAGCTGGCCGACCTCCTCCAAAAGATGCTGGGGGACCTTCAGGCCGAGCAGGAGCAGCTACAGGGGGCGGCCCAGGCTTTGGCCAGGCGCGGGGCTGCTCTGGAGGCCGCGGTAGGCCAGGCCTGTGCGCCCCGCGAGCTAGAGCGTTTCAGCCGGTTCATGGCCGACTTAGAGCGCGTGCTTGGCCTCCTGCTGCTGCTGGGCAGTCGCCTGGCCCGCGTGCGCCGCGCCCTGGCCCGGGCGGGCGCAGACAGGGACCCCGAGGAACAGGTAACGGGTTCAGGCTGGGGAGAGTGGGGCGGTGAGGGGCCTGCCGGCTCGGGCGGGAATCGGGCACCCTCGCCCAGCTCACGGCCCCTCTCCGTGCGGTTCCAGGCCTCTCTGCTGCAGCGACTCGGGCTCCTGCAGCGACAGCAGGAGGACGCCAAGGAGCTGAAGGAGCACGTGGCGCGGCGCGAGCGGGCCCTGCGCGAGGTGCTGGTGCGCGTGCTGCCCGCCGAGCAGCTGCGCGCTTACTGCTCCCTGCTGGCGGGCAAGGCCGCCGTCCTGGCCCAGCAGCGCAGCCTGGATGAGCGTGTCGGGCTCCTTCAGAACCAACTGGACGCCATCAGGAGCGACCTTGCCCATCGTCCCCGGCCTCCCAGGCCGGCCTGGCCCCCAGGGACCCGTCCTCCCGATAAACTGCCCTACCCCCCTCCCCTCATATAGTTACAGGGGTGGGGGTTGGGGAACACTGTCCCTGCCTCTCACCCACATAAGTGGGGGTGACGCTGGTTTATTCCGTGCTTTTCCCTTGAGGTGGGGAGGACTCGGCCAGGCCTTCCCAGGATACCTCTTACAAGTGTTCTCATGTGGCCTTACGCAAATCTTGTGGATTATTTGGTAATTAACTATGGATTTTAAAAACTGCAGTATTCCCCCTTTTTGTGATGAGAGAGTGGCTTGTCAGGGTTGATTGGAGGGGGAGGAGACAAGTCAGAGGTGCACTTCAACTTAAGATGCAAAACAGCCTCTTTTTTTCCTCTCAATAAAAATTGATGTGAGAAGTGTATGTGTTGCCTGGAGCATAGCTTGGGGGAGGGATCTTGTTTACAAACCACAGACACCAACCTTGCCTGACTAGAGCAGAAGAGGGATTTGTTGCAGGACGTCAGTCAGGTCTGGGAATCTCTAGGAAGACTGGAGAAACTTGAAAGGCTTGAAAAGAGGAAGGACCAGGGGCATGCTGGGCCCTCAGCTCCACTGCCAACAGTGACTGCATCACTACCCCACAAGCCTAGGCCTGATTGGCTGGGTCCAAGTCTCCTTTGCTGATTTTTACCCAAGCCCCCAACCTCAGTAGTGGAAGTGGGGGTACTGCCTCCCTTCAAGACTCAAGGGATAGGGAATTTCCCCAAATGGAAAATGGGTTCAGATGATTTGCTGCCTAAAAACCCTGACAAATGTCTAATACACTTGGACATTTGGGGATATTCATTTCAAGACCTAGAAAGAACTTTCTTCCTCTTCCAATTATGTTATCAAAACTGAGCTTATACACCTCTCCTTTGGAGAGCCCCAGTGGGTCAGCCAGGCTTGAGGAGGGCGGTTGGTGGTGGGAGCTGAAGGTGAGGCATGGGGGACCTGGAGACCTACCATGCTGAGGACCTGAAGAGGCAGCTCCACTTGTGTGCTAGAGAGACTGATCTGAGGGTGGGCTGGGGTGGTATGAAACATAGGTCACACGCTCCTCTCTATGTGTGCATCAGCCCTGTGTATGCAGAATCAATGTGAAGTTCTCAAATATACACGTGAAAATCTGCTTTAGTGTTTGTAGCTGCAAACACCAGGGACAAGAACATTGTTCATGCAAACGTTCAGTGTATTTCTGGAAGTTGGGCACATTAAAAGGCTTGTGTATGTGTATTTAAAACCAACTGACCCCAAAGTGAGAAATCTCTGCTTCTGGGTTTGTTTTCTGAGGCGTATTGTCACTAAGTGCAACTGGTTGGGAATTTTAAATGGTTGTATTCATACCAAAAGCATTAGTTCTAACAGCCACGCTATTGAACACAGAACAATGCTCACGTTGTGCCTTTTCATAAAAAACATATGGGGCTCCTGCTGAGGCAGTTGCGGGTTCTAACATTATGCTTTGCTTCTCTCCTTCAAACACTGTGGGCGGGGCCTCCGCTCCAAGGTCCTCAGCCTAGCCGGGCAGCTCGCTTCCGGACACGTTCTGGATGGAATCTACTGATTTCTGCCTTTTGCCCTGTATAGTCACCATTGCATTCTCTCATTGTGATATTCTTAGAAACATACTTAACGTCTTCCACTAGGCCAGTGGAAATTGCGTACCTATTTCAGACAAAGCACTCTCAGCCCGGGATGGGCATAAGGAGCAGAGTCTGCCATCGTCCCGTTAAACTGCACTTGAGTTCTGTGCTGGGTTTTTCCGCGGGGGAAATATGAGACTTCTGTGCTTGTCCCTATCCAATCTGGAGAGCCCCCAAAATAGGGCCATTTCCTGCGCCTGTCTTTCCATCTGGCCTCTTTCTCCTTCCTGCTCCAGTTTATCTCCCCTCGACACCGTTATTCCTTAAGACGGCAAGAATGAGCTCATCATAGGTGTTCGGTATTGGCACCACAGACCAAGACTTTTGCGGGGACCAGAAGCCCAGTAAATTCCACCTTCCAGGACACTGCCAGCAGAGGGCACTGTTCTCCTTATGATGAAAGTTTCTATCTGCACTTGACCACACACAGCCTCCCCAGCTACCAGACCCACTGGGCTAGCCACAGGGACCTTTGCCTTGCCTTGCTGAGCAGTGTCCCTGCTGGGCCTGAAAGCTAGGGTTGAGCCTTTCTGCTTCTGTCAGAAAGAAATTTTGGCCAGCCAACCATGGGAAGGCTGGCTCGCTTTCCTTTGACACTAGGCCTTCGTCGTAAAGTTGTTGGTTAATGAGAAGTGAGGAGGAGGGAAGCCGGGGGTGTTGATCTCAAGTATCGGTGTCAAAAAGAGCCTTACTTAGTTCCCCAGGGTGGAAAAGAGGGTTTCACGGGTCTCTGTTGGGGTTTCTGCCCCCACCTCCTTAAGCCGCCTGCGCCCCCGCCTGCTCGTCCCGCCCCCAGCTCCGCAGCCCGCGGCGATGCTCCCTGGCTCTCGGGAGGGCAGGCTTCGGCTGAGGTTGTTGCTGGGCAACAGGCAGCCCCGCGGCCGCCTCCCCCTCTCGCCTCATCCCGCCCCCGCGGCTCCTCCTAATATGGATTTAATTAGTGTACTTTTTACCTTCAGACTGTAAATTGGAAACGGAATAGGGAAGCAATGTTCCGCGGCGCCCCAAACCGGCGCGCAATCTGTCTCGAACAGCCTGCTCGGCACACCACGTACCTCCCGAGCGGCTGGTGTAAACCTCAGGGATCCTCACAGGAACAAACCGCGGGGCTCTTCATGTAAAGCACAAGCTTAAGAGGAAATTTAGGTTAATTGTGGTTGAGGACTGCAGAGAGAAAAGGTGAAAGGGGAATGTGGGGGCGGAGGCGGGGGGCGGGGGCGGCAATTGCTATAAAGCAATCCTCTCAATGACCCCGAAGTGTTACTGTCACAGCCTGGCCACAGTTTAGACAGTCACGATGGGTGTTTACCTGTTTTCTTTGAAATTTAAATCAGCACCAACTTCCCACTAGGAGGGCTTTTTTTTTCCTCTGAAGGAGTGGTCGGTCTGGACATCCCCTTCCACACCACCTCCATGTTTCTCTCACGGTCTCTCCCTTCTTTCCTCTTCCCTGCAGTAACACCTGAGGCCACCTCTGCTCCACAGGTTCAAGTCCAGAGATGTGGCAGTTCTGGAAGGGTGAGGCCAGGACAGAGGTTCAAAGCAAAAAGCTATCTGGAGAGCAATAGTCTATTTATGAAACCATTTTAAAAGGTCAAATAATTTCTTCCAGGAAAAGGCCAAAAAAGAGAACATGAGTCCTGGATGGACCCAGCTTTATAACTGTGTGTTGAGTGATGATTTCAGTGTAGCTGGCTGAGTGACAGCTGTTTAGGTCTGGAAGGTGGGGGTAGGGATGCTAGAGGAATGTTCATTAAGAAAGACATTGTTATATCTATTTTAACAAAAGTGATATCACATACAGAATATGGGATAATTTCTCTTTTGTGGGAATATATTTTTCCTAGCAGAGTCGATTGTTATTTATGTATACGAATACTAACACTGTAAAAGAATAGTGATAGTGTTAAAGCAAAGCCACAAATCAGAGCTATTTTGTTTTGGAATGCGGCCAGATACACCTGTGGGACCAACTCGGCACCCCTGGTAATATTTCAGGATGGTATTGCAATTCACAAAGAGCTCTACATACTCATTCCCTATGCTCCACCCTCCTAATAGCCTGTAGGATAGGTATTGCCAGTCTTATGTCCCACAGAGGAGGGAGATGGAGCTTGGAGAATTGGGTGACTTGCCTAAGGTCACTAAATGAGTACAGGGCTGAGGTGAGACCACCTTGCTTTTCTGCAACATGACACTGTAATGGAAAAGAGCACCAGGATGCCATCCCCATTCTGACCGTTACTAGCTGTGAGGCCTGGACAAGTTACTTACAATTTCTCTAGGCTTGTTTCCTCACTTTAAAATCAAGATACTAACAGTACATCCCTTATAAGGTTGTGGTTAATACCTGGCAGTTAAACATGGGTCATATATGCATTACCCATACCCTGGTCTCCATTAGGCGAGTGAGACATGCTCAAGAACAACCTCCAACCTCCTTTAAAGGAAATGTAAAACTTTATTAAAAAGCTTGCTCTGGATATGACTCATACACATCTACATCAACAATTAACTTCTCCCCCATTAAAGGGAGTGATTTTCTTCCCTGTGACAATTCTAACCAGCTAAATTACCTTCACATATAGGCAACTATATTTTTTTTGGTCAGTTGTTGGAAATACCCTTCTACAAGTGTACCTCCTGCTAGGCAATACATGGTTCTTAAAAACTTTCTATATGCATATCAAACTATAATTTCCTACTGACTTACCTTATAGTTTCAGAGAGTCTTGGCCTACAAGGAAAAAAGCAGTGGTTTCTAACACCTGAGTTTTAGGTTTATTGATCCTAAACTCTTGCCAAATGTTTTACTTTACTTGGAAGGCTTTCGGTACACTGTTCTGAAACACAAAGATTCTTCTGGCAGTTCAAGTAACCCTCCTCTGACTTAAGTGTGCCCTAAACATGAGTTATTGTTATTACTACTTTGTTGGTTTAGATTTTGTCTTTCTCAAGGCACCTCATGCCTGTGTTTGTGACCTTTGTTACCTAACTGTCTCAGTCAAGCCTCTCTTTTACCATGGAAAATCTCTAATATTTGATTCTGTCTTCTAGACCTTCAGCTACTCAGATTGCTATAATTATTGCCTCCCCCAATTTTTCTACAGAGGCAGAAGATTTAATTTGCATTTTAAAGTAATTTATGCAGCTTAGCTAGAGTTCCAGGCAAGGAATGTGGGAAAGGTCAGATCAGGGCCTACATTTACCTACAGTTTCTGGCTCCCATATCCGTGTGTGGTTGACTCCTTTATTTTGCAGAGCAATCCAAACTCTTTCAATAATAGAATGCTTGAAAGAAGCTGAAGAAGGATGAAGAGAAAAGGAAGAAATTAAGTAGATGAAAAGAAAAAGACAGTAGCAAGAGCTGTAGAATGTTTAAAGGAAGTACATCATCACACAAGCAGGAACAAAATGGGAGACTGTTTATTTCATTGCTTAAATCAAAACATTCCATGAAGGACTAACTTAAATAATTTCCAAAGCCTCACTGATATATATATATATATATATCCTGTGCCACAAAAACTATTTGATGTAACTAATGACATGCAAACACAATTTGCAAAAGCAGAGCATTATCACAATATGATACAAAAAAGGGTTGGTTGAGCAAATAGATTCCATATCTTTAAA